GCTTGGAATATATATAATTATTCCCAGATTTTAGCCTTTATTTTGCATCAAATTATTACTATAGGTAAATTCATAATTTAAAATTCCTTGGCAATAAGTCTCTATTAGGCTTACTCTAATACTAATAACCTAAATTAGCTAGTCGTTATATTATCGCAAAATTTTTTAGTTAAAATTTATTATAAGCTTAAGCCTCTACTGCTAAGAGTTTTTAACTAATTTAACTCTATTATTATTATTTGTTTATTGTTAAATTTTTAGATTTTCTTATCTTAATGTTTGATATTAGAAATTTAATTTTTTTATATCGCTAAATTCCAAAATTATGATAATAAAAAAATCAAATCCACTTTCAAATTAGTAATAATTTAAGAATGATGTAATAAGTGGTATATAATATTAGATAATAATATAATATAGAAATAAAGTTATATATAGATTAAAGTTTTTTTAATAGTATTATTAATTAATAATATATAATATTTGGTTAAAATATGTTATGTTGTTGAGGATGTAATATTCACAATGATAAAAATAAAATTAAGTAAAGAGAGCTGATAGATTATTCATACTTCTTGGGTCTATCTTTCATTACTAGCTTTCTAGCAGCTTTATGAGAGTCTAAGGAACGTTGAACTCTACTCTGGGGACCCATTATTTTTTCAGTAATAAAGTCAAAGTGAACGAAAAAGTAACTTGTATGGTATTTGAGAGTGTTGTAGAATTCAGGCGCTATTTTCTTGATTTCAGGAAGTCTAGACCAAGCAACCTATAAATTTATGTTAATAAACTTGATTATTTTCTATATGTTAAATTTTAAACTTACGTGCATAAAGTCGTGATGTTCATTATGATAACCAATATTTAAGTAGAACTTATTAAGAGAACCATAGTAAGAGTAAGTTTCTTGGCCATCATCAAAGGTGAAGTGCTCCTGGATAAAGTGGGCAGCTCCAGGGTGAAGACCATATCCAAGCCAAAGAGAGAGGAAAAGGTATAAGAATCCTTGAATTCCACAGAATTTAAGTACTAAAGCATCTACTATTACTGTGTAGATTACATTTATAATTTCCCAGAATGATAAGGGTTTGAAGTTGACAGTTCCTCGTACAACGTACATTACGGGATAAATGAAGATCCATAACATTTTCATGAAAGTGTTACCTTTAATAAGCTTAAGCTCCCAGGCCATAGGCAAGTCGGGGTCGAGGTTCTCTACACCCATATAAGCGTGGTGGTTAAGGTGATAACGACGGAATGAAGCAGCAATGGGGAAAGGAATACAGGTGTTAACTACAAGGGCTAAAAGGCGGTTAACAAAGGGGCTAGGTGAGCAGAGGTTATGAGAGAGTTCATGAATAATGACACCATAGAGCGCTGTAATTGTTCCACCAATACAATAAGTTACTAAAATCATGGGGATGAAAGAGGGTTTCCAAACTTGACCTACAAAGTAACTGAGGGAAAGCTGAACAAAAGTGGAGGCAAAGATAATGTATTTAGTCCATGGATCAGGGCCCTCTAGGTGTCTGATTTCGGGATGCTCCTTGAGAATAGCGAACTTGCGCTTGAAATGAGGTTCATCCATATTATCAACAGCCATACCCTTATTTACATATGGGACGGATCTCTTCCAGTCACCCAAGTATAAAGGATGACGGTGGTCAGGGCTTTCTTGTGAAGGCTTAATAGAAACATTTTTTGGTTCTTGAGGAGGCATAGGTATTGTTAGTTTGTTGTTATTATTATTAATTAGCAGATTTATTATTTGTTAGTTGATTATTTAAAGAGTAAGCTAAAATCGAGGAGAAAAAGCTAATTTATATATCGGCCATCCATGCCAAATTTGGCATATAGTATTGAATTTAGCTAGCCAATTCCAATCAAATTCCTATTATCAGTTATTGAATTCAATAATTAAGGGATCCATTTGGGAAATACAATAACAAATGGCCTGCCTCTCAGCCAATCATCCCCCTATTCTATTCTTCTCCCTCTCCCCTCCCCTCAAGGGGAATTAATGCCAGCCGAATTAATCCGTTCTGATTGGAAGGAACTGAGTTCAGGGCTTCAGAGTCAAATCTCAAAACTTAATGGCATCCTATGAATTTTATAAGCTATGCGTACTAGCTTCAACCCAATAAAGTCAAATCTAATTTATTAACAATGATGATCAGATATACCATCTCCAGATATCAGATAGAATACATATTAATTATCATTTGTATTCAATATCAAAAATAGTTATAGAATCAATATATTACCCGATTAAATTAGAATTTTTTTCAAATTTAATTTTTTATCAAAACAAAGTTTTGGACCAAATTAAAATGGGTAAACTTTTTCAACAAATTAATAATCAGAAAAGTTAAAAATTAATATAACTGAATATTAGGAATTTTATTGTATTTCCGAGGAAATAGGAATCTAAAGCCGACTAAATAAATTAGTTTTATATAAAAGTATGCAGCTGGAAGAGAAAAGAGCTTGCATTCTAAGCTTAACAAGTATATTTAGTTAAGTGTGTTTGATTAGAAGGGACTATCTGTGATTATGGAGAGATCGACCCTTAAAATTTGTCAGAAGATTTACAAATTGGCAATTATTTAAAACTCCTCTCAGTAAATCCTACTTTAGTAATAAAACTCACTTCCTAATGCAACCTTCTGTTTAATCTGCCAAGATACCAGTGCGCTGTTATATTAAACCCACTAGCTTCTTGGTCTTTTTTTGTCAAGCTAATTCGTATAGTTATTAATCTGAAGCAAATAAGTAAATTTCAGTTTATAAAGGAATTTGAACGAATCAGCTTTTACCCCTAAAAGGTAAATGAGAATTATTATATATCCACAAAATGATGTAATTAAAAACATTATCAAATTATTGGTAGACATTGATTTAGAACCAAGAAAAACGGCAGAATATGCAGCTAGTATCTATGTATATTTTAAAATTTCAAAGGGGAATCATTGCTCTAGACCAATTAAACTTGCGTAAGTTATATCAGATTCTCTATTAAAACTACCAATAAAAGATTCGAATTACTTACGTTTAGGCAAGTTTGAAC